ATCAACTTGATGGCAGTGGGTTTTTTTTTTTTTTTTCCCCATTTTGTTAGTGTTCTAGGGTGGTCCAAAATTAGGAAATTCTTCTTTTATGAGACTGGGGGATAGACCCTACTCTAATTCTTTTAATCGCCGCAAGAATGGAAATTGTGAGAAATTTAGAAACAGATTGGTCAAAGAATTGCACTCTCTCTTTATTCCTTATCAAAATGCAGGGCCCTGTGGGTGGAGTTCTTCACCTCTATGAAAGGCTTGGGTCCTATAGCTATTGCAGTCCCTTTGAAGATAGGTAAGGCAATGGAGGGACTGCCTGAGTCTTGTGGCCAAGTTCCTGTGGGTAAGACTGTGCAACTATAACAAAGGAAGAGGGATTCCATCCTTTTTGTTGTTTACTCAAGACTGGAATTACGGACCTGAGACAACATTTAGTTACCATCTCCTTTAACTTTTTTTAGGTCACAAAGGAACAAATTTCTCTCTAAATTTTTTTTTTTTTTGTGAAAATATGTATGACAATACATGCATTAACACAACAATTTCTACATGTACATGAGTTCAATAACATTGGCTACATTCTTCAAGTTGTGCAACCATTCTCACTATCCTTTTCTAAATCTTTCCACCACCATTAAACATCAACTAAATTCCCTCTAAGCAAAAACTTCCCTTTTCCTCCTCCCTCTCACTCTTTGTTGTTGTTGTTAGGTGCCGTCGAGTTCTCTCCAACTCATAGAGACCTCTTACACAGCAGAACGAAATACTGCCCAGTCCTGTGCCAGCCCCATGATCTTTGCTATACCTGAGCCCATCATTGCAGCCACTGTGTCAATCCATCTTGTTGAGGGCCTTCCCCTTTTTCGTTGTCCCTCCACTTTGCCAAGCATGATATCCTTCTCCAGGGAGTGGTCCCTTCTTACAACATGACCAAAGTAGGTGAGACAAAGTTTGGCCATTCTCACTTCCATAGAGCATTCTGGCTGCACCTCTTCCAGGACAGATTCATTAGTTCTTTTAGCAGTCTCTGGTACTTTTAGCATTCTTTGCCAAAACCACAACTCAAAAGCATTGACTCTTCGGTCTCTCTTTTTCATTGTCCAGCTCTCACATGCATGTGAGGCGATTGAAAATACCATGGTTTGTGTCAAGTGCACCTTGCTTAATCTTCAAGGAAACAAACTTCTTTACTCTTCAGCACTTGAAAGAGGTCTTTTGCAGCAGATTTGCTCAATGCTATGTGACGTCTGATATCTTGACTGCTGCTTCCATTGGTGTTGATTGTATTCACTGCTGTCAAGTCGGATCCAACTCATAGCGACTCCTCCTTCAGTTTCTGAGTCAGTATACTACGGAAGTAGATTGCCCAACCTTCCTTCCGAGGATAGCCTGGTGGGTTTGAGCCGCGAGCCTTCTGGTTAGCAGTTAAATGCCTTAGGCACTATGCCACCAGAGTGTTGATTGTAGAATCAAGTAATATGAAGTCTTTGGCAACTTCAATTTTTTCTCCATTTATGGTGATGCTGCTTGTTGGTCCCATTGTGAGGATTTTTGTTTTCTTTGTATTGAGATGTAATCCATATTGCAGACTGTAGTCTTCAATCTTCATCAGTAAGTGTTTCAAGTCATCCTCACTTTCAGTGAGCAGAGTTGTATTGTCTGCATAATGCAGGTTATTAATGAGTCTTCCTCCAATCCTGATGCCATGTTCTTCTTCATGTAGTCCAGCTTCTTGGATTATTTGTTCAGCATACATATTGAATAAGTTTGGTGAAAGGATACAACCCTGACACACTCCCTTCTTAATTTTAAACAATGGGGTGTCCCCTTGTTTTGTTTGAACAACAGCCTCCTGGACTATGTACAAGTTTGTCATGAGCACAATTAAGTGTTCTGGAATTCCCATTCTTCTCAATGTTATCCA